CACTATGCTACCAGAGCTCCCTGTTTTATTAGAGAGGCTAATTTAAAGGCCAAAACCACTGATCTGAATATTTACATTCTAGAAGTTGCAGCACCTTAGATAAGCTAAAGTAACTCTTTTCAACTTGATTAATGACAGCAAGAATGCAACTGCACTAGCTGGCATATGGGAAACTGCTGAGAATGAAGAGTCCATATTTTGGCTGACATGCTGTTTGCCTCTTTCAATTCTTTTATTTCATCAAGTTCACATGAAGGAGAGAAAAGGCACCGAGTGATGTTCTGAACAGCTCGAGCACCTTTCTTTCCTCTTTCCAGCAAAAAAGAATAACTTTCTTTTCTTTGCTCTACCTACCACTATCTTTTCCATCTCACATGTCCCATTCCTTTTTAATGACAGATGTTATGAAAGTGGCCTCTATCATTAGACACACTGACCTCTCTTAGAGTTTAAGCTCTAGAAAGTTAATGGAGCCTCCCTATCTTTGAAAATGCCATGGCCCAGTGCTGACCCCGACTTATCCCCAACACACTGATACAAAAGTCATTGACAAAATAGGGAAATGAAAATGAATGTCTAAGAAGCTGAGGAGTAAATCTGGGGAAAATAAAATTTTTACAAATAAAAAAAATCTTTCTCTACTCCTAAGAACATGCTTCTCTATTTTATCTTTTGACTTATTATGTACTTATTTGTAAAAGTTGGGTCAGTGTTGCCCTTTCTTCTTTCTTTTATATACTGCGGTATAAAATGCTGGCTTGAAGCTCAGACTCAGGAGCTGGACTCCTAAGGTTCAGATCTTACTAACTACGTGATCTTGGGCAAGTTATTTAACCTCTCTATGCTTCAGTTCCTTCAAATGTAAAAAGAGAATAATATTAGATTCTAGGAACTCTGGTAGCATAGTACCTAAGGCACTTGACTGCTAATCAGAAGGCTGGCGGCTCAAACCCACTAGCCACTCCTCGGAAGGAAGGTTGGGCAATCTATTTCTGTAGTGATACTGCCTCGGAAACCCAAGGAGGGGTCGCTGTGAGTCGGGTCTGACTCGATGGCACATAACAACAACATCAACACCTTTTAGAGTTGCTGAGAATATTCAATTAGTAAACGAATATAAAGTGCTTCTACCACTGCTGATCACTCTGAAAGGGATCACAATAGGAGGTCCTGGGTATAGTGGGAGAAAAATTTGTAACAAAATTCAAAATCATTAAAAAAAAAAAAAAAGGCCAGACTTTCTAGTCTGATAGAGACCAGTAGAACCCCTGAGACTGCGGCCCTTAGACATTCTTCAAGCCTGGAACTGAACTCACCCTCATAGCTCAACTTTTAGCCAAATGATCAACTGGCCTGGAAAGTGAACAGCAACACCAGGGAAGTACTCAGGCCTTAGAACAATTGACAGAGGAGATCAAACAGATAGCATTTGTCCAGGGATAAAGCACCACAGAAAGGAAGGGATAGGAAAGAAGGACAAAGGGAAACGGTAAACACAGGGAGGAAATGGGAAGAGTGCTGTTACATTGTAGGGATTGTAATTAATGTCACAAAACGAAATGTATGAATTGTTGAATGGAAAACCAATTTGCTCTATGAACTTTCACCCAAATCATAATAAAAAGTTTGTGTGCATATATATACACACACATATATATATATACATACACAGATGTGTATATAACTTATATATGTGTATATATATATATATATATATATATATATATTGCTTATAACATGGCATGGTATGTCAATATACCAAGTATTAGCTACTATCATTACTATTATTTCATATTAACTGCTGACTTTTATAATAATATTTTTGAATTAATACAAGGGCAATTATATTCTTTCCTCATTATAGAAATAAACATGTTCTATGGTGCAGTTGGGAGTTCTGGTGGCATAGTGCCTAAGGCATTTGACTGCTAACCCGAAGGCTGGCGGTTCAAACCCACCAGCCACTCCTCAGAAAGAAGGTTGGGCAATTTACTTCAGTAGAGATACTGCCTCTGAAACCTAAGGAGGGGTCACTTAGAGTCAGAAACAACTTGATGGCAGTGAGGTTTCGTTTGGTATGATGCACTTGTGAGCAATTTAGAAAAAATATAAAGAAGGGAAAAAAAACCTTCCTTCTGCTATCTTACTACTTAGAAGTACCTATTCCCAACATTTACTTCATTCCCTCATAACTATTGTTAAGTCCATTTGTACACTATCACCCCTCCACTAGATCCAGAAGAAAATACAATGTATTTTTATAAAGAGAAGTGATTTTTCCACTGACCAGAAAGCATGAAGCCTGACTTCCTAGGGCATTTAGGTAACACTGGCCATTTTAATTACTATCTCTGCACTTTTGAACCACTACTGAACTATTACAAAATGAATATAGCAAGAGCCTCACCCAGTCTTCCTCACAAGGAGGCCAAGATGCATACATTATCTTCTCAAAAGAAAGTTTATCCATAGAAAGGGGCAAAGTACAAAGTAGATGAGTGTAGAGCAGGTAAAGGCTTGGTTTACAGAGGATGTGTTTTAACAAAATCTGAGAGGAAGCAAAAGACAGGAAATGTCTATACTCTCTTCTTAGCCCCTCTAAATTGTTAATTATAATGTGTTACTAGTATTTAAAGGATGTCCTCTGTTATCCATTTAGAGGAATGCCAAAGAAAGAATTCCATAATAAACACACGTTAATTTTATCACTTTCTGTATAACCCTGTGATAAGCCAAGAGAGAACTGGATGAAATTAGTATACTGTGCTCCTCATTTAAATTCACTCTAATGTCTTAATATGCATCTCTCCTGTGGTTATAAAACATCACCATTTTAATCTAATCTGAACCCTCAAGTATCATCTCCATACCTAGCAAATGAATGATTCATTTATTCAAAATAAAATGAATCATTCTGAAATTGGGTGATTTGCATAAACATATGAGACATTAGCTACTTGTACTGGGAAAAATTTGCCATTTTAATTCATTTCTGGCTTTTTGGCTCCTGATCTTTTCCTACCTAATATTGAGAGACTTTTTCCGCAGCTCACTCCACTTGAAGTTCATGTTATCCAAACGTCTTTGCAACAGGACCGCATCATCTGAACCTTCCAGGGATCTCAGGATTTTTTGGCCATTTTCATCCAGGTTATGATAGATATCCGTGTGAGCTTCAATTTCTCCTTGGAGGTCCTAGAGGACAGTGAGGACACAGAACATATGCATAATTACCAAACAGAAGTGACCAGTTATGAAGGTGAATTTGGAGAGCTGCTCACATTAGAGGATTAGTTCAACAGACATTTCAATTAGGCCAACTAACAAGAAGACACATCCCAAATGAATATGAACATCTAATTAGGTATATAATAAACGATTTCCTGTCATTATGAATGGGAAAGTAATGTATTTATATAACCACCAATTTCAGAAGGTATAGTTTCTATTCCATGGATAAAATATATGATTTTATGAAACTGATTTGGAAAAATATTCCACGACAAAGAGAATCTCTAGCCAAACATTTTATTGCACTATGGGTCAAGTCACATTTTCTATGCACGTATTTCCTATACACATCTGTAGAGATGCCTCTGACCATCAGAGCATGGAGAGACCAATAAACAAGGTGGTGGCTGGTGCACAGCACTGGCCCTGTAATGGGATTCTATGATAGGAAAGAATCTTTTTGATCATACACATTAAGCTCACCTTGGTATTATAGCATCATACATTTATTAGTAAAAATTCCCATTTAAAACACCATCATACTTTTAGCCTTGGCAGGTGGAAAGTCCATAGGAGCTTGATAAGAGTTATGCATCGACTTCATTTGTATATACACAGACCAAGAAAATTATCATAGTAGAAGAATCTGACCTTTACATGGTATGTCTTCCTGTGTAACATTTTCAGCTTGAACCGGGGACTACAGCACTGATCCTGTTGCATAGCAATCCTGAGAAAACCCAGCGACTGAAAGAGCCCTGCTTTAAAATGCCAACTTTGCTTACATTCTGTTGACAGAATGAATTTCAGAGCACAGGCCTCACCAGTCAATAATAATAAACAGCCACTTTGTAGTCCTTGCTAAACGGTAGCCAGGCCTGTGGATGTGGGAGGGACCTCAAAGAGAGGAGGCCTGGAATATGCAACTGACAGTTTATATTAAACAGCCAACTTTTCTTATCATTTTGCCATTATAAGACAGAGACATTATAAATTCATTTTATATATGTGTTTCCCTCCTTGTTCCCAGCAGAACAGTCAAAGCCAAAGGAACATTCCTTAGAGAGCTGCCGACTACCAGCATTCCTTTCTGCCTACACAATGAATGGACGCTTTGTACATTATCTGACTTGCTCTTAGAGATTTGTATGCTTCTGTTCAACAAGTTTAAAAATTCATTCTGAAGCTCTGAACAATTGGATTGATCTGTGTAACTAGAAAAGTTTTCTTTTTTTTCTCTCTCTTTCTGAAATTGAATTAAATTACTCTTCTAAAGTCGGGGGGAAAGTGGCAGCAATACCATGTTAGAAATTCAGAAGAGGTGGCCTGCGTTTTCAGTCACAGCCTCCTAGCTGCAGAGCTTTGAATGCTGCAGAAGGTAGACGGACAATGAAAGCTTCCTGTCAGTATTTTTGGCAGCCAAAGTATCACTGATGGACTCTAAAGAGAATTCTGCCCCATTCTCTTTGGAGGACGGGAAGGGGGAATATGGATAGAACCACATCCAGAACTGAAAGAATGGAAATACTAAACCAGATTGAGTAGCATCTCTAGCCCATCAGAAAGAAGCTTGCTCAGAAGAGATACAGGCTGGTTCTGAAACTATCATACATGGTGGAAATCTAGTATTGGACTTCTTGCAGATTGGAGTTCGGTCAAATATACATCCATGACATTTGTGCAATACATGGAAAAACAGGCCACTTCTTCAGCAAAAGAGAAAAGTGAAATAACTTATCTGAATAATACAAGACTAAAGAATGGTCAGATCCAAGTTATACAGATAATTTCCTTACTTTTACTTAGTTTTCTCATTTTGCATTTGATTTGTACACTACTTATAACTTCACCCCAGAGTACATACTTAGGGGATTTAAGTCGACCCTTTAGTTGTTTAAGATAATAAAGTTTATACAACAATATATATATATAATTGTTAATACATTTGAATTTTTATATACTATATATATAGCAGAGACCCAGGTATCATTAAAAAAATATGCATATCATGAAGACATTAACATTTTCTTTGTTGAATCAATGAGAGATCTCCCCAAGCTAAATAGGATGTCGAATCATTAATTTGCTAATTTTTTGTCCTTGCTATGTATATTACACTGCATACAAACAACTTTGTTGTATCTTCAAAAAGGAAATTAATATAAAATCAATAAACAAGTATTTATTGAACACTGATTATGTGTCTAATCTTAGCACCATGGGAAATATGAGAAATGCAAGAGACATTTTTGTCTTTAAGTTTTCTAAAATCTAGTGTGTACTTTTATTGAATTCATTCACATTAAAAACTTATATTCATGAGAATCTCCTTCCAGACCTCATAGATACTGGCATAAAAACTTTTCTCCCTAGAAATTCACAAGTGGCTGAAGTGTTGTCTTAGTCCTAAATACTATTTACAAGAAGGTAACTCTTAACCCAGTCGTACTTCTCGAGGTCATGATGGTGGTTTAGAACAAATGACACATGTATAATAAAGGGCTTTACAGTTTACAAAACACACATGTACCCCTTTAGTTATTCCTCTCACGGCCCCATGTGAAATACATCATATTCTCTATGCTTTACAGGTGAAACCACTGAAGCTGTAAGGGTGGCATAAAGTCTCATATCTAGTTACGTGTTAGAGTTGGGAAGTGTATGCAGGTCTTTCAACTATAGAAGACCTTGAGCTGTCTCCACCTCTCCATTTGCTATACACACTGAATGTAAGACAGAGTATTTATTGGAGCTGAACAAAGATACTACTAAAAAGAGGGAAAACCACCATTGAGGGAAGAGCATACTGAAAGACAGTATATCTGATTTTGATTAAAAAAAAATTTACCCACATGGATTGATTTGTTTTGATGGGACCTAGTGAATATCTTACTTACTCTTACTCAAACATCTACATGAAATATGAAATTATGACTACTGTTCACTCCTCATTTTACAACTGGGCATTCAAGTCCACATGTGAGCAAATGCTGTTTGTACTGAAAAGAGACCTCCTTACTACAAGATACTCCTGCTGTCATATTAGAAATTCTTCCAACAGTAATTCACCCCTTTATCTACAAGAACCATGTGAACTATCAGCCATACAAAAGTATTGGCTTAAACATGAACTCATCAGTATAAACATTGTGTGACCACATTCCTTAAGGATGAGAGGCTGGTAGGAAATTAGTCAAGCTATAGGACTCAAGGGAGCTCTGGTGACATAGTGCCTAAGGCATTTGACTGCTAACCAGAAAGCTGGTGTTTCAAACCCACCAGCCACTCGTTGGAAGGAAGACTGGGCAATCTACTTCCGTAAAGATACTGCCTCAGAAACCCAAGGAGGGGTTGCTATGAGTCAGAAATGACTCAATGACAATGAGTTGGATTTTTTTTTTTTTTTTAAATAAGACTCAAGTACGTTGCCCTAAAATGGCATCATTGATGAATTAACACAGGCCTCTCTTTAGAAGGCTGGCATAAGTAGTGAAGATTTTTCAGTAAAAATAGGCAGACTGAATCCTAGGTGGGGAGGAGACAGCCATAGGACAAGTAGGAAAGAACACATTCACATTTGAATAGAACTACTATAATGGCCGACTCGACGGCACATAACAACAACAACAACAAAACTATGATGGCACATATGTGGTTACTATCAATAGGAGCTCTGGTAGCATAGTGCCTAAGGCACTTGACTGCTAACCAGAAGGCTGGCGGTTCAAACCCACCAGCCACTCCTCGGAAGGAAGGTTGGGCATTCCTACTTTTGTAGTGATACTGCCTCGGAAACCCAAGGAGGGGTCGCTATGAGTCGGGGCTGACTCGATGGCAAATAACAACAACAACAACATCAGTTAGAATTGACTTGACAGTACTAGTACCATGATGGCATTTGTCTTAAGACTAAACCTTAGACTTAGGGACCACAAAAAAAACAGGAGGTTGGTATTGAAAAGTTTTGCACAGTGCAACCAATCTGAACCAAAATGTAATTTTCATAGTTTTATTTCACTTATAACATAATCAGAAAATTTCCTCTCAAGCCTTAGTCACTGCATTCACTGTATATCCTATCAAGTTATCTTCTTTTTATGATTGTATTGTTTAGGAAGAATAGTAACTAATGTTTAGGTAAAGAAAGCATTTGTTGCTTAACAAAATAATACCAGTAGCAGCAACAACAACGACATATACAAGATTTACTAGACACAGACAAAGGAGCTCTGCTGGAGCCGTGTTTAAAGAATTGGGCTGCTAGCAAAAAGGTCAATGGTTCAAACCTACCAGCTGCTCCATGGGAGAAAGATGAGGCAGTCTGCGTCTGTAAAGATTTACAGCCTTGAAAACTCTATGGGGCAGTTCTCCTCTACCCTATAGGGTAGCTGTGAGTTGGAATTGACTTGATGGAAGTGGGTTTGGACAGACACTATCCGAAAGCACTACATCTACATGAAAACATTGAATCTTCTTCGCAACCCTCTAGAGTAAGCATTATTATAATATTCATTTTACAGATAACAGAATGAAATTACAGAGAGGTTAAGTAAAATGTCCGAGGTCGCACAGCAAATAAGTGATGCACCCAGATTTCAAACTCAGGAAGTCAGCTCCAGAGATTGTGCTCTTAAACACTACACTATATTACGGTACTTTTGAATTATAGTTTGCTGAGGGTATTTTTTTCCCCTAGTAATAACAATCCAGCCTAAATTTTAGCAGAATGAGCACTATAAATGAGACAGTATCAAATAGCACTGTATTTAGAAGTATAAAACTAATTTTGTGTTCTTAATATAGAGACTCAAACAAACCTGAAGCAGTGGACAGAGATGCAGCTGATATGACAATAGAAAACACAAAATAATTGAGAAAATGGGTGCAAATGGAAAATAATAGGTAGCCTCCTGCCCACAAAAAGGGAAAATATAGCTCAAAGTTCAGTATAATTATGGAGAACA